AGATGGCCAAAGCTTGCTACGAGCTTCGTTCACATTACCGATGGTGCCTTACCGGTACACCAATGCAGAACAACATCGACGAGCTACAGAGTCTGATCAAGTTCCTCCGCATCCAACCGTACTGTGAGCTCTCTTCCTGGAAGGAGTCTATCGCGCAGCCAATGAAGAATGGTCGCGGTAATCTTGCTATGAAGCGACTCCAAGTCTTCCTGCGTGCTTTCATGAAGCGTCGTACAAAGGATGTGCTACGGAAGGAGGGTGCGTTGAACTTTGGCGGCAAAGCCAAGGAGGGCGAGGAGCGGCCAGCCTTCCACATCGTTGCGAGAAACGTCGAGACCATCATAGGAGAGTTCACGAACAAGGAGCGCATCTTTTACGACCGGCTACGAGACCGTACACAAGCCCGTCTCGATGAGATGATGGGCGGCGAGAAGCAAGATTATATTGGAGCGTTGGTGTTGCTACTTCGTCTGCGCCAGGCTTGCAATCATCCCAACCTGACGAAGAGCAACGTCAAGGATGACAAGGATGCTTTGACAACCGGCTCAAAGTCGAATGCTGCAGCTGGTCTTCAAACTCCGCGAAAGGCTGCCAAGGATGACGCCGATGATCTTGCAGATCTCTTGGGTGGTCTTAGTGTGGCGACCAAGCGCTGTGATATCTGCCAAAACACCCTCAATAGTGATAATACAGCTGCTGGCGGAGTACGATGTACAGAGTGCGAGGAAGATCTGAATGGATCTGTCAAGAAGAAGTAAGTCAGCATCTAGCGAAGTCACATTCATGGATCATGCTAACTATCCATAGGCACAAGTCGAAGAAGCACCGCAAACACAAGCACAAGGACGGCAAGAGCAAGAAGCACCGGCAACCGAAGCCAGTCTTGGATTCCGACGACGAAGAAGAGGCCCCACAATCGACCGCCGCAAAGCATTCTCGCAACCGTCGCGTCGTTGTCGACAGTGACGACGAAGAAGAGGAAGGCGAGTGGCTCGTCCCGGAAGATCAACAGCAGGCTGAAGACCTGGGCAAGGCTGGCGGTACCGATGACGAGAATGCAGAAGGTGGCGGCGATACTCTTGCTACCGTAGACTCAGACGCATCCGAGACTGAAGATGAGAGCAGGAGCAACCTTGACTCATTCGTCGTTCACGATACCGACAGCGAAGATGGAGCGCCTGTAGCTCGTAAGAAGCTGGCCAAGAAGCCACAAAAAGTCATCAGCCTCGACTCCGACGACGAGGAGGCTGACAGCGAGAGCGACAGCGGCAGTGATAGTGGCTCAGACGACTCCGCAACCGACTCCGAAGATGACAACTCAGATTCCGACCCCGAAGCCTCAGACTCCTCAACCTCAGGCGCTTCCTACAACGCCTCCTCCCTCGTCCCCTCCACCAAAATCCGCCAACTCCTCGCCATCCTCGAAAAAGAAACAGGCGAACACAAAGTCATTGTCTTCTCCCAGTTCACATCCATGCTCGACCTCATCGAACCCTTCCTCAAGCGCGCAGGCTACAACTTCACCCGCTATGACGGCAGCATGCGCAACGACCTCCGCGAAGCCAGTCTGCAGAAGCTGCGTGAAGACAAGCGCACGCGTGTTTTGCTGTGTAGTTTGAAGTGCGGGAGTCTGGGGCTTAATCTCACGGCTGCTAGTCGGGTGGTTATTATGGAGCCGTTTTGGAATCCGGTATGTACTTGCTCACTCACCTCTTCCTTCTCAAAGACTACTCGCTGACACAATGATCCAACAGTTCGTAGAAGAACAAGCAATAGACCGCGTCCACCGCCTCAACCAAACCGTCGACGTAACCGTCTACCGCCTCTCCATCCACAACTCCGTCGAAGAACGCATCCTCGAGCTGCAGGAAGCCAAGCGTAAACTCGCCAACGCCGCTATTGAAGGTGGCAAGGCCATCAAGAATCTCACGATGAAGGATATGATGGCGTTGTTTAGTAGGGAGAGCGAGTATGATCGCAGGCATGATGATGATGCTAAGGATATGGAGTTGTATGGGAGGAGGAAGGTTTTGGATGGGGAGGGCGAGGGGGAGAGGGGAGAGGTGGTGGAGGAGGGGGGGAGGAGGAGGAAGGCGGGGAGTTTGGGGTTTAAGGCGGTTAAGAGGACGGAGAGGAGGGATGAGGGGGGTGCTTATGGACGGCGTTGATGGAGGGTGGGAGAGGGTGGTGTTCTTTTGGTGTTGGAGGATAGGGATAATGGGGTTTGGTTATGATATGGTGTTCACGATACGGTATGACATGAGGAGCCGTTCTTGGACTCTCTTCTTGATGGTTTAGACGGCGGACTTTCGTCGTTGCGAAATGAAGTGCATGGCCGTTATTCGCTATCTGTAATGCTTCCGATGAGCTCTGCAAACCTCTCAATCTTCCTCTGCCATGCTCCCAGTTCGTTCGCGGTTTCCCTTTCTTCCTAGAAGACATTTTCTTGTTGGAGTTGCGAAACCTCAATGTGTGGTCGTTCTGAATTCTTCGTGTTGCTGTCAAACGCAATGGTAGGATATATGTGGGCGCATGGCTCTCTTCAAGGCGTGGTTGGTTCGTCGTTTCTGGGTCGCCTCTAGGGAAGCCCGACTCTTTCCCTTCAAATGATGGTAACGTCTTGCTTTGGCATTTTGCTGACAACATCTTCCAGCTCTTGCTTCGTGTCGTAATGTAGTCCTGCAACTCCTATGCGCATATAGCGCCCGCAGGGAAGGCGATTGAGTATGAGCCCCTTTAGACAGTAGCCATCGGGTTTGTTCGGAAAGTAGTAAAAGCGATCCTCCGATTGACCGCGCACAATTGCGACGTATGCCGTATGAAGCTCTGCATGTTCCGCGCTATCAAAAGTGAGGGTAGCAGTCATTACAGGAAAAGATGATATCTCTTGAATCTTATAGATCCTACCCGACTCATCAGGTACCGATATGGTTAGACTCTCAGCCTTGTAAATGTTGATTTTTTGCACACCAATCCAATCCAAGTTGCCAATGGGTGCTCGTAGTTCGATCTCTCCCCCCGTGACTTGGCCGTACTTGTCTGCCGCATTGGCTAAAGAGGTGTGACATCTGAGTATCTGAGCATATATCTCGTAGACAGTTACATCGCGTGATAGCCAGATGTAGCCTTTCACTGATGCCCAGCTCCAAGAGGGAGCGACATAGAGCTCCGAACAAGTAGCCATGGGATTATGAACTTCCCACACGAGGTCTACAGGCAGCTGTGTAATCCACAAGCCAGCCAGGTAGTCACATCGTGTTCTCTTGTGAACCTCCGATGCAATGCCCGATAAAGCAATCAGTCTGTCGGTTTCGAAAGTAAGACCGCACATCGTATATTTGGATAAAAGAAGTCTCCAGTTATCTCGGACATCGTATACGTCGGCGGATTGGCTTTGACGGTGAAGTTGTTTCAATTGACCATAGTTGTTCACAGACTTTCCATCTGGTAGGTCGCCATCAGGAAAGACTTCAGAGGCTTGAAGCGTTCTACACTCCCAGAAGGCCATTGACTTCGACATGTGCACGATGCGAGGTGACAAAATCCGTTCTTGTAGGACCCACGCTCTTTCATTTACAGCTGCACCCTCCACTTCATGGTACCATATCTCTGAAATAGTCACTTCCCACGTAGTAGTCTCGCCGTCCTTGTTATCTTGTGTATGGAAGTAATCCATAACGCGTGAACCGTTTCGACTGACGAAAAGACCTGAGCAATCGTCGCCTGCTGCTGTTGCAGAAACATTGAGCCAGCTGTTAGCGTAAACTTTCCCCATCAGCGACGATTCCCTCTTCCAATCTTGGTCATCGTCTTGAATAATGCACATACAATCTACCCACATCAGATGGATACCCAATCGCCATGCCATGTTGACCATATCCCGGAACGTCGGCCTCAGACTTGATACAGCAATGCCATCTTGAAAGGATTTGAGCGAGTTAGTCGTTAACTGTAGGTTTTGAGTGCTAGTAGAACCCCAGCAATGACTAAGGGTGAGATAGGGACCACATTTCAGGCGAGAGCCGTCTCGTAGATGGACGCTTAGGTTACCAGACGGATTGGTGACCTCCAGCAAGCGCGATGGCATCCAGGCTGTTTCGGGCCTTGGATTGCAAAGAACGTGATGTTTCGTACACCGTTCAAGCCAATCAATGATTTGCGATATGGTCTCAGCTGAATCCGTACTGTCCCAGAAGGCTGTTGGTCTAGACATTGCTTCCTTTCCGTTCAACGGGTCGTGAGACAACACAGGTCTGAAACAAAAGCCCTTTGCGTACATCGTTTGCTCTGGCCGATACTGCAAGCCGTTTGGAGTTTCGCAGTTTTTGAGGAACACATTGATATTTACTGGCCATGAGTTCTTGTCGCTACGATTAACGTCCCAGAAGGTAAGTGGACTGAGAGAATGTAGATCGGTTCGGCAACCTATTGCGGCGACTGTTTCGACAATCTTGGAACAGATGTAGCAACCGTTGGCCGCAGAGGAATAAAGGCTTGCATGCGAAGAGTGATGATCGAATTTGAGTTCAAGGGAATCTAGCACTTCGCCAAAGATCGCCTCGCAAACGTGACATAGCATGGTGTACTCGAAGGCGACGGGACTGTTCTCTGGAGAATTTTTAGATGCCGTAGCGCAGAGGTTGACTTGCTTCAGCCCAGAGAGATGAGTTGGACAGAGACTTGCGCAACAGTCGTGACCGGTGAAGAGTGCGGGGGAATCTTTGAAGCTAGCCCGATTGCGGACGCGACGGCAGTCACGACTGGATGAATATCATGCTTGGCCTGCCACACCATGCACAGTAATCTTGTGTATCCCGAGACATCTATCGCATTCGCCCGTGAAACAAATGATGCCTGGTGGCTCTCCTAGCATGCGGCTGCCTACGTGGTCCCGCTGGATTCGGTTGCGCAAAATGGGGAGGCTGACGGCAGAGCCTGGCCTCCATATCTAGCCTTGGTCCTCAGCATGTCGCTCGCAACTGGCATCTCAAGAGCTTACAATGTCGTCCTTCACCCTGACGCCGATCGTTCAACAGGCGGTCGAGCATCGCCTTGAAGAGCTCGAACGCACCAAGAAGTCTTTCGAGCGACGATACTTCTCTGAAGCGGCCGAATCTGATCCGCCAAGTGTCATCGTACGCCTCGATAAGCTACTGGACGAAGTAAAGAATCTGGAGCCAAAGCTCGACGAAGAGGACGACGAATGGTTGACGGAGACCATCCAGCGATGCATCGAACAAGCCAAGGATGACGGTGCGATATCCGAGAAGAAGTTGTCGAGGCTAGAGAAGAGCCTCCGCGATAAACTGAGCAGGTTTCGCAACCGCATGGAGGTGTCATGTCTACACGCTCAGCTCATCAAGGAGGCTACAAACGCGGCTAAGATCGAAACGGTGGCTACTAAGCTTGACGCTGTAGCACTGGACGACGACGACGACTTCGAAGTAGTCGACAACGAAGGCGAAGAGGCCCTCGAGAAGTTTCAGGAAGCCTGTTCCCAGGCTACAAACGTGGACAACCGATCGATTGAGACCTATCTCTCGAGCTTGTTCACGTCCGAAGACGAACACCTACAATCGATCCGAGACGGGATGCAAGCATACGGAGATGATCTGAGTAGCGGAGAAATCGAGGTAGACGAGGAGTGCTTGACGTGGATAATGACGGACTTGATGAAGTCGGAACGGATCAGCCCGGAGCGAAAGGCTACCCTCGCAGGGTATCTGCAGTCACCCGATGCATTACGAGAGCTTGTCGCAACCTTAAACATGATGAGCTATCGCGACTGGAATTACAGAAACGCTGAGGCGGGCTTGCCAGTCGAAGTGCGCAAAACGAAGAGCGGCCAGCATTACGTTCACGTCGAGGTAGACATTATCGACATGTTGTTCCTGCATTGCTGTGCGATTGGGTGGGCCGTGAAGTTGAACGAGTGTCTGAAAGACTTCGTTCACGAGTCGGGTCTGTTTCGCTGTGCTCCGTTGGCAGAAGCGGAGCTCGACAAACGTGCTTTCTTCTTCGACACACCTCGTCTTGCATGTGAGGGTTATCTGTCGCCACCACCGCCACCCTTACCTTACGTGTTCCAATCAATACCTCCTCCTCCCCCTGGTCTACCTCTGTACAACAGCAGAAAGGGTAGTCGGAAGAAGAAGAGGAGTGATGAGAAGATGTATCCCATAATGCACCCGGCACCTCCACAGCCACCGCCAGCTGCGCCTATGGATGTAGAAAGTCTTCGAAGGGATACCTACAAACGACACTTCTTCATGTCGCGTCTCCCTCACAAAGACGGCGAAGTACCCCAGATTGTTTCGTCCGAAGACGTCCAAGCAAGATTGATCAAGACCCTCGCTGTGGAATGCAAACTTCGAAAGGCGTTTGATGGCAAGGTGTGCGCTACAACTTTGGAGTTCGACTCAATTGCCTCCACAATTCCCCATCAAACCATCATCACCACATTGAGGTTTCTTGGTGTCCCGGAAGTCTTCCTCGAATTCTTTACTCGTGCTCTGGAGCCCAAGCTGGGCATCCGAGGTTTAGCCAGTGAGTCGGATAAACTCCTAACGCCTGCTAGTGGAGTAGCGGTTGCTCATGGCCTGGAGATGTTGTTCAGCGAAGCTGTGCTGTTGTTCCTCGACCTTGCCACGCACAAAGCGACGAAGTCGTACATGTACCGTCTGTATGACCGCTGCTACTTTGTTGGTACTGCGGTCCAGGTCACGAGTGCCAAGCAAGAAGCTGCTCGTTTCTCTGATATCATGGGGCTGAAGCTGCGCAATACCTCATCCATTGGCGGGCTCTCCATCGGACTTTTGACCATGGGCTCGCAGGAATCCTCGTCTTTCGATAAGAGCGAGGAACTAAGCGTAGATGAGATCAAAGTCGCCCTATACGCCACCCACGTAAAAGCTAGGCTCAAGGCATGCTCGACCGTACTGGAGTGGATTCGCGAATGGAATGACACTGTCGGTACCTACGCAGCACCGCTCTTCGGGCCTCTTGCCAATGTGTTTGACGCAGCACATCGCGATGCCGTCAAGTCCGCTTACAGACGTATCCACTCTATCGTACTTGGTGGTAGCGACTTGACCACATACGTTGCGAAGATGCTCAACCCCCATCTTAGAGGTGGTCTGGAGCGTATGTCTTTTGATCTTGAGCCCATCATCTACCTCCCGCAATCTTATGGTGGCCTCGGTGTAAAGACTCCGTTTGTCGCTTTAGCATCCGCCGCCAAGATTAGTGAATCTGGTTCCGGAAGGATCGAAAGATATCTCGGCGAAGAGGCTGCCTACTACGAAAAAGCCGCAGACCGATACACTCTGGCGTCAGGCCAGCGTCAGCAAAGGCTCGAAACAATTTTCAACAATGACCTATCAAGGATGATCTCAGCGCTTGGTTCTGAAACCACATCCAGCGTATGTCTCGACGCCCTTCCGTTCATGACGGAAGCTGAGATGACGGAACATCGCGAACGTACTTCATACCCACTGCTCACCAGTTACTTCTGGAAGCTCGGTCCAGTGACAGTGCCTGATCTTCTCAGCCTCTATCATGATCTACTTGGCGAGGACACTGATCGCATTGAAGAAAGCCAAAGGACCAAGCGAGAGGTACAACGTCTTTCCCGAACGAGGGATCTGAAAGACTGGTACAGAGTGAGCCAGCTGAAAAAATGGACGTTGCAGCTCTATAGCGAAGAGTGCTTTGAAAGGTACGGCGGCCTTGAAATCTGGTGGGCTGAGGGCATACCCGTGGAAGTCTACAACAGCCTCAGGGGTCACATGTCGGATGACGACGACGACGACGACGACGACGATTGTAGTTCAATGGTCGAAATAGTTTAGCCCAGACGCCCAGGCGAGAGGGAATCAGGTGGAGTGATGCCTAGTTCAGTTGCCCGGATGCGACGCGCGCTTCTGTTCTGTCGATACCGTCTACTTACAACCGTCGCTTCCGAAGGTATGTCATGAGTCTGTCGCGTTTCTTTCGGGTCTCCTAATATGCTCACGGTAGCTACGAATCAATGAATCATTCACGACGCGTCTCCATTAGTGCAGCGCGAAGATCGCAACCCCAGGCGTCGTGACCTTGCAGGAGCGGCAATGCCACCCCACAAATGACAAGAGGTGATATTTTGTGACGAGCAAAGAATGAGCGCAATTTTGAATAGTGAATCCAGTAGCGATGGTGAGGGCGGGAGCGATGGCCTGATGCTGTCAGAAGTGTGGATGATGGCGATGCTGTGCGCAAGATCGTGCAGCTTTCGGGATCTCGGAAGCAATCGTTTCCGGTCGGGCCACGTGACACACGGCGAAATTCTACTCAAGGCTCTTCGTCCATGCCAGACCTATGAAACGAAACACATTTTCCGAAAAAGTAATAATGAGCAGGATAACTCATATAGAGCGCCGCCTTATATTGGTGGATTCATGCGGTGCTCGCGCATGGGACACGTAGTTCTCCCCGCACGTTCCGTGCATTCACTTTGCACCACCGGCTAAGAAGGCCAAGCCTTGCTAAGCTTCGTAAAGGATCATCAAGCCTTGTCTATCTACAACACAAGCGCTACGCCACCATGCCCTAGAACGTTTAGACATCGCGACTAGCAACACCTGTCATTTCTTCACGTCTACCTAGGTGTCTTCCACCCATGCACCCTCAGTACCTACAACCGCGACGTCTCGACGGGAAAACCTCGTGTCGCAATGGAGGCCGAATATAAGACATCATTTGGCAGGCCTTGCCATCTCGGGCCTACTCTAGATTGTTCTCTTGCAATGCGTTTTACGAATGCGAGCATGTTGCGAATGCGAGATTCATGGACGACTGCGAGAGGTAGTATATACATCTCCTGTCCATTGCCCGTAATGCTGCACTATGAATCCTTGGCTTCCGTTCTTTAAGCACTGGTCTGTTATTCAATTTCGCTAGATTGACTTCAATTCACACCGAACTCTTCGTCCCTGTAGTTCATTCTCGCCAAGACGAAACCGACAAGATGCTGTCCAAGCTGGCCTTTTTCCTCGCGTCTTCCAATGTTGCTTTCTCCGCACCAAGTCTCGACCCCCGTCAGGCAGTAACCATCGCCGTGGACTCCAGTAAGACTTTCCAAACGATTGACGGCTTCGGTATCTCCGAGTTCTACGGACGCGCTGGAAACATCAAGTCTCTAGCAGCTGCTGCTCAGAAGCAAACCCTTGACCTTCTCTTCGATCCTACTACCGGCGCAGGCTTCAACATCCTGCGCAACGGCATCGGATCTGGCCCATCCAGCGGCTTCTCTATTGAGCCCAACAGCCCCGGATCGCCCACTGGAACACCAAAGTACCAGTGGGATGGCTCCGACAACAACCAGGTTTGGTTGACGAAGCAAGCGCAAGCCCGCGGCCTCAAGACCATCTATGCCGATGCTTGGTCTGCTCCTGGGTTCATGAAGACCAACGGTAAAGACTCAAACGTAAGTACGACCACCCAAACGGGGACTGGAAGCAATAGCTGACTTGCTTCAGGGAGGAAGCCTTTGCGGTGTCGATGGCACGTCCTGCGGCAACTGGACCCAAGCTTACGCCAACTACCTCACACAATACGTCAAATACTACAAGCAGGAGGGCATTGACGTGACGCATCTCGGCTTCTTGAACGAGCCCGACTATACGTAGGTCCTTTACATGTCTTCGTGTAGATGATCTGTTACTGACGGATCATAGCACCGCATACTCTTCCATGCGATCGACCGGACAGCAGGCCGCCGATTTCATCAAAGTCCTCGCTCCCACCGTCAAGGCCTCTGGTCTGAAGGTAAAGCTCACCTGCTGCGATGCCACCGGCTATAACGCTCAGAAGGCCATGCTTCCAGGACTCGCTGCAGTCGATTCCCTATACGACGTCGTTACCACCCACGGTTACACCTCCGACCCCACAGCCCCCTTCGCTACTTCCAAGCACATGTGGATGACTGAGACTGCGGATCTCAGCGGCAAGTGGACAGCCAGCTATTACACCAACGGCGGTGCCGGCGAAGGTCAGACCTGGGCCAGCAAGATCTACACTGCTCTCGTCGACGCCAACTTCTCTGCATACCTCTACTGGGAAGGCGCCGAGGACGCCGGCACCAACCCTACCAACTCCGTCCTCATCGACATCCACGGTGGAGTCGTTGCGCCTTCCAAGCGCTTCTGGGCTATGGCACAGTGGAGCCGCTTCGTCAAGCCTGGTGCCGTTCGCGTCAGCGCTGGTGGCAGGACCAGCACGCTCAAGACATCTGCTTTCAAGAACACTGATGGCTCAGTCGCTGTGCAGGTCTTGAACACAGGTGCCTCAGCAGCGACCGTCAGCATCACTGGTGTCTCTGGCAAGGCGTCTGCATACGTTACCAACGAGAGCCACGGGCTTGATGCGATGACTGGGAACAGCGTGCCCGCACATTCTATGGTCACTTTCCTTTACAAGTAGATGTTCTCTCCGCGAGGGCGCATACTTCTCCAGCTTCGCAAGTATGACCTTGCTTTTGCAAGCTATTCCCTTCTGTTCTCCTAGTGTTGACACACCCTATTCCCTTGTACATAATCATCATAAACTGTTCAATCGCTACCATCTTCATTAGTGCGCCATCGCATATGAACTTGTATTGAGACAAGAATTCTTTCCCAGATGCCTTTAATTGATCCTTGACTGCAGCGAGGACATCGCCATCTGATTGGCTTGCGCAGTACCCACGTAGCACTACATCGAAATGTGAGATGGGGTGGCCGGTAGAAAGAAGGGAGGGCGCGAACTTTGCGGCGCTATGTACGGAATGAGCTTAGTGGCGGGGAAGCCGTTGGTGCCGCCCTGCACCCGACCCTGCCAAAGGATCGATGTAATCTCAATCATCTGCAGTGTCGCGGCGTAGCTGTATCTATGTACGGTACATCCATATGCAATGTTCCTCGACGACCGAAGAGTATCGCTCGACATGCTTGTCGCTGGTCATACGCGTCCGATACCGAGGAGCCACCTGGCATGCCTTCCACCTACCTAAGTAACATCTCGCAAATTCATGGCAAACAACTAGACCAAATATCTTCTCCGCGGCTTGACGGCAAGAACCTCACCACTAGGCATACGGTACGGCACGCGTGCAGAGGGCTAGGCTACAACCGACCCGACCCCTGCGCTGGCTTTTGGGCATGCAGCAGCTAAGGTTCGTTTGCGCGGTTCGACGCTCTTCACATGGGCCGTTGCAACTGAGAAGGATAATTTCAAGCCGCTGTGCGTCTATAAAGTTGGCCTTCGCGCTTCCTTTGTTGAGGATTCTGTAGTCTCTTCTGATCCCCAACCCCGTCACTATGCGGCTGCCGCTCTTGTTTGCGACATTGCTCTCGTCCGTGGCGTCTCAGGTTTTCGAGCCTACCGACTTCAGCATCACCGAGGCTCTTCTTGATCAAGGTGTCAATGTCTCTGCACTGCCAGCGTTAGCCGGCCTTGTGGGTCGGTCATCCAACCTGGCCTGCAACATCGCCGTGAGTATCTTCAAGCAAGTAACTCAAAGCCAAGGCTGAATCAAACACAGTGTTCTTCGCTGGAGGTCGTCTACGGAAACAAATCTATCGAGTTCCAGGATGAGGCCGGCTATTCCGCGTTCACGTCGAGCTTTTGGTCTGGAATCTCGGCTGAGGTCAGGCCATACTGTATCTTCAAGCCCTCGAGCCCTGCCGCTGTTTCGGTAGTGGTACTTCTATCTCGGCTGTCAAAATGTCCGTTTGCCGTCAAGTCGGGTGGTCACAGTGCGTTCGCCGGCGCGGCTACTATCGAGGGAGGAATAACCGTGTCCTTCGAGAACATGAAGGGCATCGAGCTTTCAGACGACAGGAAGACCGTCGCAGTCCAACCAGGGAATGTATGGGGTAATGTGCTTACCGCTTTGTCGACCACTGGCGTCACAGTCGTATCTGGAAGGATTGGTGATATCGGTGTGGGCGGACTCACCCTCGGCGGCGGCATATCGTTCCTCACGAATGAGTACGGTCTAGCTTGCGACAACGTCGCTAGCTTCGATGTGAGTTCGCTGCGCAATCCCACGACATCGCGCTCTTCTAACGTTGACTAGGTCGTCACAGCAAGTGGCATCATGGTTACGGCGAGCCCGACGACCTACCCAGACCTCTACTGGGCTCTTCGCGGTGGCGGCAACAACTTTGGCATCGTGACCAGCTTCAACCTGACAACAAAACCCCTCGACAACGATCAGATCTGGGGAGGGACCCGCACTTTCACAGAAGACAAATTTCCAGATGTAATCAAGGCGTGGGTGGACCTCACGTTCAACTCGGCCCAAGACCCCAAGGCCGGTAGCTGGGTTGCCTGGCTGGACAAGGGCGCAAAGCTTGCCTCAACCGAGCTCTGGTACGGTGCACCGGCTGGTAACGAGTCGGCGATCCTCGCACCTTTCTACAACATCACCGCCGTGGCTGATAGCACGAAAACGCGAGGCCATGCTTCTTATGTGATCGACAACGAAGCTACCAACAAGTATGGGCTTCGTGAGGTCTATTACGTTATCTCAGTGAAGACCTCCTACGAGATCGCCGAACGCTCCGTCGACATCTTCTACGAATCTATCGGCGCTCTTTCCGCTGTCGAGGGCGCTTATCCCGTTCTCATCTGGCAGCACATCACCGACGGTTCGCTCAAAGGCAGTACCCGCAACGGCGGCAACGCGATGGGTTTCGACGCCGACGGCAGCCCTATCCACATCATCCAACTAGCATGCTCCTGGAACAACGCAGCGGACGACGACACAGTGTACCAGGTCATGTCGGATATCATGAAGGCGATCAAGAGCGACGCGGTAAAGCTGGGTGTGCAGAACGACTGGGTGTATATGAACTATGCATCGATGTTCCAGGACGTTATCGCGAGTTATGGGTCGGACAGCAAGAGCAAAATGAAGACTATTGCGAGCAAGTATGATCCGAAGGAGGTGTTTCAGAAGCTACAGCCTGGATACTTCAAGTTAGATCGTGCGCCCGTGCCTGATGCAAGGTACTTTTCGTACTGAGGTCACATTGGAGAGTGTGGAGCATGAAAATGCGGATATGACCTTCTACTACTAGTAATGGATAAGACTACTTTACATCATAATGATCTCGTAAATGACTGCCGTGTGAAATGCATACCACGGAGTTGATGGCCTGTTGATGAGCGGTACCAGATGGAGTTCAGCTAGCGCGGGGCCGATAATCCGCGTACCGAGACTGTACAGCCTTGAAGTCCACCTCTCCGTCCTCAATATCGCCGTCCAGAAAACTGTACCAGTACGTTTCCCAGTCCTTCACCGGTCTATCTCGTAATAAAGTAGAGACGTACTGGCATTCTTCATCGAACTCTTCCATGCTACCTATAATGCATGGGAACTGCAGAGAGAATTGCCGGAGAGAATATGTCGCCCTGACGCGGGGAGTAACTCAGGGTTGCTATAAGCACCCAAATTTGGGGGTGCGAAAGCCATTGCGAGATCATCTCTTGTCGGAAAGGGAGAGCGTTCGTCGCGTGTACAGGCCACAGCTGCAGTGTATAGAGCGGCGATAGATTTGACTTTGTTCCAGATGATTTGAACGGTGTCAAATGGTCCGATAAAGTGCGTCTTGACAAGCGGTCGGGTATCTCGACCCCAAGATAGGCTGACTGCTTCATTGATCCAGGTGATTGTGCGAGGCACAGCATTTGAAACTCTACACTCGGTCCACCGATGCTCGCTATAAGGGGATGTACTCATATCTGCGAGGTCTACGTAATCAAGTGGGAAACTGATCAGGTTTTAGCGTATATAAGGCATGTAGACAATGCTGTCTGAACTTACACGCACCGCCAAAGGTCGACATATCTATCCACCGATAGTTGAGGAACCGCATCGCAGGTAGGTAGTATCCCTCGTAGGTGATATTCTGGAAGTGCTACAGATTTCTCTTCTTCCAGTATCTTGATATTTCGCATCTGCTTACGATGCTGAGGCTGTAGTGCGTCCAGAAATCGGATGGCCTGGGACGTGGCTGATTGGAAGTATCTTAGATCAGGTAGAGCATCTTCGAAGTTGTACCATGTGTCTGGACGTGGGTCTTCGAAAAGGTCCCTTACTTTGATCATTTGGTCTTCAGTAGGTAAGGCCCAGGGCTGCCATAGCGTAGTAGCAATTATTGACCGCATGTGACCGAGTTTTGGAAGACTCAGCTGCTCTACGGAATGCCTCTCACGCTCATCGTGAGAACTGCTTCTGAACCAGTTCCTCATGAGCCGATCCAAGATGTTGAAATTGCGGTTTCTTCGGGGTATGTTGGTGCGAAATCTACTAAGCTCAAGCACAGGGCTAAAGCCGAGGATATCTATACAGCAGCTTCGTGATCTGAGCCGTTCCGGAAAGTCTGCCTGCGAAGTCAGACGTGGAAGACAAGCCTGAAGGACTTCACAATCATGGTATGTCATCGATGATGGATTTCCCATGATATCCTTCAGAGGCACATAATCTTCGTCTTCGTACTTGGAGATCCGAATGAGGAGGTCGCCGATACAGCTGTCGGGATACTGCTCGGACACTTCTTTCGTGAGCTGCTCCAGAGCTATAACGTGTCGGTTAGCACGACGTGGCTTTGGTGGAAGACATCTGACAGCAAAGTTCACTGACCTGATGTTGATGCTCCCAATACGAAAGCTTCTTCCTGCAAAAAGTGCAGACGTTCCAACAAGAAGTCGTACTTGCCAGCCTGCGACCACTCGTCCCAGATATCGGAACCTTCACGCGAGACCTTGATCTCCTGGAAAGGCTTGAAAACCACTTCATTCACCCTGAGCGGCAGATCTCGCATCTCGCTAGCGACCATCTTGCAGGTCCACATCAAGCTGAAATCGATGATCTGGCCATCGTAACGCCGAAGCTTGTTGGTGGTTGGGGAGTGAACGTAGCCTCCAGGCTCTTGTAGGTAATAGGTGTAGATCTCATCGCGGAGTTCCCGAGGAAGGCTTAGAAGGCGCGACTGTTGTTGCTGGGAAGGAGCTTGCGTCGTCATGATGTTGTTTCAATTGTGGAATTGGTGTTGCGGAGTTGATGATGCAGCATTCGCGATGGTAAATTCATGGGAGGCGGCTCATTTATGATGAATAGTACAGGACACATGTGCGTAAGGACATCTGGCTTGCGGCGTCCACCAGGCAGCAGCACCAATCGCTGATGCCTTGCGAGCTTGTTATATGGTTCTGTCGGTACTGCGAAATATGCGGGAGTTTCGCGGTCCTCCCAGTCCAAGTTTGTGTGCGGAATTTGGTAGCGAAGCTTACGAACCGGCTTCCAGCAAAGCTGAACGCACGCTAGGGTGTGAAGGCTCTCTCATTGTTGTTTTGGACACGTTGATTCAAATTGTATTATCGCCGAGTCTTTTGATCCTCCAAAATCAGAGTCACGCCATGACTGCTGAACAGAACTTTGTGTTACTCTAGTCCGTTACAAAGCGCTCGCACGTATGAGACCGGTTCGCTAATAGCCGTCTCATTGCCACCAAGGATCCGCATACAACTCATCCAGAGCCGTAAAATCATAGTCCGAGGGGTCAAGATCGCCTTGAACTAGGCTCTCGGCATAGGTGAACCAAGCGTCTCTCGGTTTATTCTTCAGCTTATCCCCAATACAGCGAGCCTCCTCTTCGAACTCTTCCAGAGTGCCTGTAGGGCATGATAGCCGCACTGTGGTGCTCCCGGACAGGATAAGTTGTACGGAAATAATTAGACGATTGTTTATTCGTGTGTCAAAGTCCAGTTCGTCTTTAGGAACTGTTGCAATAGATATAGGGGAAGAATACTCAATGCCGAAAGTGGTGTGTAGCCAGGCGAGACTGAGGGCCGCAAGCGCCCTGATAGCGTTCCAGATACGCTGGGCGGTATTGGTATTCGCTTCGAGATGTAGAGAATAGGCCGATAGTGGCATTCCAGCGTGTCGCAGGTTCATGGCCTCGTTGATCCACTGAATGGTCTTGAATGTGGCACGAAATAGACTGCACGTGGGCTTTCCTATTGACGCTGGATGAGTGTTGACCGAGTCAAGCATCACGCTAGTGTGCAGAAAGCTTCCGGGATGCGTCAGCACGAAAACTCAAAGTTCAGACATGAGTTGTGACTTACATTACACTCCACATGTCGACATAATGGTCGATCCGTAACCGGGGAAGGTCCGTGAGGTATGGGACGAGGCCGTATGCATGACATCGTGATGCAGAACATTTGCGGTCTTCGCGTATGACCAAATGACGCAATCGGTGCCGCTGTCTCTGTGGCAGTGTATCGAGAAAGCGGATGCCCTGCGAGGCGGACGATTCGTAATATTTGAGCTCTCTCCCACCATCGGCATTCACGGGGCACCAGTATTGAGGACCTCCGTGAATAGTAAGAAACTCCAAAAGTTCGAGAATTTTCTTGATTCGTATGGCAGTGGGCGTGACCCAAGGTTGCCATGCCACGGTCGATATGGTTGAAGATGCGACCTCAAGAGCGTTCCTGCCCACAGGTTCTTCTCCATTCCTCACACGGCTTCGCCCCAAACCTATCCAGCGTTTCGGATAGGTAAGCCATCTGACAATATTCCGTGATCCGAGCCATTCGGGGAGGCCGTGATGCGAGCATATATACTGAAGAGTCTCTTGCAAAGCTTGGCGATCCGAATGAGTCAGTTGAGAGAGCGTTACCACTGCATCATCGGGTTCATCGTCATGTTGTCCTTTAGTTCGTAACGCCGATCGGATGACAGCTCCGATGCCACTGTGAGGGTACTGTTTGGAGATATGTTCTGCCAGTTCCGCAGTACCTGCGATGCCTAGTTAGCTATTGCTTGATCAAACAAGTACGTTACCGCATGTGTATGTCAGGATCGTCGTACCAAACTCATCAATAACCACACCAAATGCGTCAAACATCGCCAAGTCGAGAAGACGTAACAAACTGTTGAGATAATATTCCGTAGACAGTAATGACAATCCAAATACACCTTCCACTCCTGGAACGAGTGCTATGCGTGTCTTGAATCTGATACCATTTTTACTCAGAGTGAATTCTGCTGCCTCCGCCGCGACTTGCTTGCATGTACGTAGAAGTCCGAGATCGATAGCTGTGCCATTAATGTTTCGTAGCGTGTTCGTCTCGGCGTGGTAATGGTATCCCTCGTCGCTCGCAAGGCAGTGAGCATAGATTTCGTCGCGAAGTTCCCGGGGAATGCGTAGGAGATGGCATGTGTTGGGCTGGAAAGCTGCCATGGTGTCGGAAGGCGATTTTAGTGATGTCGGTATCTAGATCGAAAAGTCGAGGTCAGTATGTGTGATATAGTTTTCAAACCGCGGTCCACTCAGTGAGCAAACTCTCTGCCGGGTGTCCTTAGGCAGCAGCGTTACCAAAGCGTGGTACTAGAAGTTGCAATGTATATCGCTCATGGGCGCTCGATCCATAGAAACGTCGGAAATAAAATTCGCGAAAGATAGGTGCTTGAATCGTGGCACATTTCGGACGCGTGGTGTGTATTTTCTCGTCATCGGAACCAATTGCGCTCGATATGATGCAGGTCCGACCAATAACCATGGTACAACTCCAACACATGTAGTATACATCCACCAAGCCACGACCCACGCTCACTTGCCGCCCACCCTCTTGTTCTTGAGCTTGATGGTCTCTCCGTTGACGAAGATACCCTTGCCCTTGTACGGTTCCGGTACCCTCCAACTCCTTATCTTGGCTGCGAACTGCATGACCACCTCCTTCTCCGGTCCCTCCAACAGTAAGCGCGTCGGTTGCGGTGTGCTCGCAGTGACGCCCTTTGGTATGGCCAGTTCGACTGGATGTGTGTATCCGACCTTCAAGTTGACGAACTTCTGGCCGGGGAATTCGGACTTGACCGTAGTCGCGCTATCTTCGACTGAGGCACGGTAACCGACACCGTTGAAACGAAGAATCGCACTGTGTCCTTCGCTGACACCGAGGATGTGGTTCTGGAGGTATGCGCGGGTGGTGCCTGGGTCTGTGTCAGCGAATTGCGCAGCCTGTGGTGATTGCAGCGCTCTTACCCCACATTGCCTTTTGCTTCGCATCTTTCGCGTCTTCAATTGTCAACGTCGGCCCGCCCAATGCCGGGTCCTGGTTGATATTGACGTATGGCGGGATGGGCATTGAAAGCTCGCCCAATGGTCCCTTGATGTGTACTGTAGACATGGCCTGCACTCTCGCACTTCTCGCCTTAGCGGAAGGCGCGACCACCTGGAACGTGACTCCCTGAGGTATCGAGAGCGGTAAAGACCCGATCTTGGATTGACATGATGCCGTCGAGGTAAAGGTCCTGGTCGGCGCGGGCCTGGAAAATACGGGCAGCAGGAAAGTCGGTATTGAGTCGCTGCTCTGGCTCGAGGCCTTTGCGAAGCTTTGGGCGCACCGCCGTCGTGCTGGGGCGAACATGTTGATTTGATGCCGGCAATGATTATCGCGAGAGTTTTCGGAATCTCCAACTCGCTGCTAGCTCATCCGGTCTCGTGATAGCGCGTCATCGACGTTTCTGATTGGTTGGACGGTCGCACCTTCCCCCACGAACACCCCTCAACACCACAACACTCCGGTCATCATCACTCTCTGGGGAACATGCTGCACGATGCAGCGTCAAATTTCGACGCTTGATACCTGCGACTGACCGTCCTCTCACCCAGGCATGTGCCTCTTGATCGTCAACTAACAGCGCGTGCTCTTACCCCAGATTTGACCTCACCTTCCTGTCGCGGCAGGCGTCATGCTTCAGGCTCTTCAACGTTGCATCTTCTCCGCTCTCTTACCATATCGTGAACTCACATGGTCGCTACCAATAGAGATCTTACCATCCTTGACCTCTCGCCTTCTCCTCTTTCTCTACTTTCTTCTACTCCCTGGCTCCTGCTTCATCTCGCCAGCTTTCCGTGCCGTGCTTTCGATGACCCTGACTGCTCACCAGCGTATCGCTCACATGGAACTTCAACATGGACTTAGCAAGGCGAAGCTGATCACGTTGGGATTGTTCCTCCTACCTACAGTGTCCTCTCATTACCACTCCCCGCCGGCACATGCAGCTCCAACGGTCAACGTGGACTCCTTGTTCCAGTACACGACATCCAGGAACCACAAGGTGATAACACAAGCAGTCGATTTCGTTGTGTCGATGCAGACCGCGCCGACATGCACTCGCATGGCTGCTTCGCACTTGATGAACGAGTGCAAACTGTTGGAACATGCACCGGACTTCGCCAAATCTCGCCCGGAAGCTTATCTGGACAACGTCAAGACCGAGTACGCCGCTAAACTAGCTGTATGCGAACTTCTCAGTGCTCAGCCAGTGAACCCAACACCACCGGCAAACTGCGACATCCTCGTTCCGGCATCCAGGCATTGCGGCAAAGGCGGTAGCTGGTGGCACGCACGGCCGGAAGCTCCTAGCGACAAGCAATGCTACCCCGACTTCAAAGAGTATCAATATACCCAATGCCTCAAGAGTCTGCAATCGACCCCTCAGTACTGGACATCGTTCAGCAACGCTCGCCAGAACGCAGTGGTCATGTGTCAGGCCAGCAGAGATGTCATCGAGCGAGAAAACCATCTCGAGATATTTAAGAACTTGACTCAGGTGCTGGGTGATGTGACCTCAAACATGCAGAAGACGACCGAAGAGTACGAGTCTTTGATCCGTGAGCAGAGGCAGTACTCTGAAGAAGCCCGCGACTCTCACCAGCAGCTCAAAGAAGACATCCATGCGGTTCAGGAGAAGGCCGTCGCTACTGTGGGTGCGCTTGACGACAAGTTCCGTACTTTCATGGAGGTGTCAATCTCGGATCTTATCACAGCTCTAGCCGAAAGTCAGAGCAACGAGATTGACCGGATACATGAGAGGATGCAGGGTTTCTCGCAGGAGTTGATGCTGGAAAGCTCTCAGCTCGCGAAACACTTCACTGGCGAACTCCAACAATACCATGACCTAGCCAGGATGGGCATTCAATCCAACCACGAGGCTCAAGTCGACAGCTATACTGTTCTAGCAGGCTACATGGACGTCACACAGGACACCATCAATCGCACGAACGATATCGCAGATCGCTCTCTTTCTACAGTCGACAGTATTGCGCAACGCCTGGACATCTTCGAGACGCAGACTGAGCACATTGCCGAAGGGTTCGCTTTCCTAAGTGCAATACCAGCACTTGTCACACTACTCGTCCGCAGCTTCCTAGCCATGGTCGGTACACTGTTCATCTTCACTGTTCTGTACAAGCTCAACACAAAGCTTGCAGCCTATACTGCCGGCGCATGTAGTTCAGCTTTCCTCCTACACACATGCGGAATTTTCGACTGGCTCGGCGCCCTCCCCTCACGCATCACCAAACTCCACAGCGAACCTCCTCTTACGACTGTCGCAGGCATGTCATCCTGGCAGAAAGGTGCAGGCATCATACTTCTACTCTGGCTCGCTGCCTACCCGGTATGCCGCATCAACGCCTATCTCGGAAATCTCATAGCCATAACACTGAAGCGCATTCTGGGTCCAATCTGGATCAGCGAGTACAGCAACGAGAACGGCACCGGTTTCTTGCCGAGCATTGAGATTCCCCCTCCTTACCCTCGTCGCGCGGATTACCGATATCACCGGAATGATGTCGGTCACCGCAACTATCCAAACTACTCGAAGTCGGCCTCACCGCCTTCCGATATTTGATAACCGGAGTTCGCGACAAGAAGTTTGGAGCCCTCAACAGCATCAACGTCAACATATCATCAGCACATTTACGACACATATCTTCAAACGGCTTCTCAGAAAGCGTTACTTGTACCACGAACCATCTTTCATCGGTCGATACATATTCAGCTCGCGATATACCCTTGACGTTTCTTACCGTTCTACGACAGCATTTCCACGGCGTTGGAGCAGCATCTTATACCAGCAAAAAGGCGATGTGGGGGGAACCGGGCAACTTGGCACATGTATGGCAGAGACCTCATACCTATCTTTCAATATTATCAATCCATAGTTTATAACTACATCACATCCAGTCGCGTGTATGAATGATGCAGCCTATATCGTTGACCATTTCCTGCAGGCACATCTCAATCCTCCTCATCATCCGGCAACTCCTGAATCCTCCCCGATCGATATGCCTCCTCAACCGGATTCTGCACATCCATCACACCCGTCGCTTTCAACCTCTCAAACAACACAAACAACCTCTCAGCCTCCCTCTCCTTCTCCTCCTGCGTCATAGGCTCCATCTGCACATGCTCTTCTCTATCCAACCTCTGTCCTGTGATAGGATTCACAGGTATCCCCTCTGCGTCACCCGCCGGCGCATTCGCCTTGACCAGATCCTCCGGCATGCTAATATTATTCGACATGAGAAAACCCGACGCGTAGCCATATCCCACGTTATGAACAAACGTCGCTGGGTCTTTATGCGAGAGCTCGAAGAGCATCGAGGAAATTGAGCCGCGGAGCGCGGGTGTCATGGCTGACGTAGACAAGTTGAGCAGGCGGGAAGAGAGTGTGTTTGATTTCCCGAGCGGTTTATCGCGCTCTTCGGTTGTGGGGAGGAGCATTTCCTCCATCGTCTTTTTCACGTCTTCAGGTGCGAATTCGTAGATGCGGCGGATGAGCGTTAGAACGGGTGCGACGGCGTCGTCGAGTTCCTTGGGTGGGTAGGCGATGAGGGCACGGGAAAGTATGCAGATTAGGTGTCTTGCATTCGTTCTCGGTTCGAAAGACGGGAAAACGGCTTTTTTGCCTTCTTCGCACTCTAAGTCGAGGTGCAGGAGCACGTTGATGAGTTCGCGGGCTGGGACTGTTAGGGGTGGTTCGGTTGCGCCGCGCCGGACGAGGATCTTGAAGACGCTGGGTATGGAGGGGGTGAAGTGGGGGCTGAGGTCGGTGTGGAAATGGATTATGTTGAAGACGAGTTTGAGGGTTTCGGCGAGGGCCATGAGTTCCATGGGTTGGTTGTGGCCTTTTGCACCTGAGGGGGCGGACTTGGAGTAGCGCTGCGCATGGCGCGTTATGGCGGCGTTGATGCTGGAGGCTAGGGAGTTGGAGCGGACGAGTGAAGCGTAGTCGAGGCTTGTGTCGTAGGTTGTGAGGAAGAGGATGCGGGAGGCGAGGAATTCGTTGTCGATGCTTTCGCTCTGCTTAAAGATCAGTCTAGCCCTGTGTCTAATCGTCGCTGATGTCTGCGTACCTTCAGCTTCTCCGCTGCGTGTGGGCCATGGCCTAGGTCGACGAGTATCTGGCGCGTCTTGGGTTGGAGGAGAAGGGCGTTGGCTATACACCGTAGAGCCTCTTGTGAGGCGACAGTGGTCTCTCCGTCAAATGCATGGCGTCCTAGTGTCCGAAGGCCCTGTAACGGTCACTATGCCGTTCCCATCGCTCTGCGCGAAGGGTAGCGTACATCTTCCGTGAATATGGGATCGGAGTTTTCGACTGATCGGCCGTATACTTTGAGTTGTTCGAGTAACTGTTGCTTTTCTGTGCATCCAGTCAGCGCAACGTATGCGTATATAGCATGTGAGACATGCGCTGAGTAGACAGCTTCTTCGCGTCCAGATCGGCTTTCAACTCGGAAAGGATTCTGGTGACGTCGTCGAGCTTTGCTGTCCTACCGTTAGTAACGAGTCACGTGAAAGGTAGTCCTGCGCAGTGGTACTGACCTCTGCCCGTTCTTTGCGACAACATGGCGGTTGCGTTGCAGGACACGATTAGAGCGCATCACGTCACTCGGGGTGGAAGCTCGCGCTCGGAAAGCCCCACTATTGTGGGACCTGCATCGACTGTTGCTTTCCAGGGTCCGCATCAACAAGCAACGAACCACAACAGGTGCGGTAAAGCAAGTAGCCATAGTCTGTTCACGTATGCCTTGATTGTTTATCGTTTTTAGAATATAAATCATCCCATCTGGTGTGATGCCCTTACATGCTGTGGCAGCATCATGTCATAAGAGTAACATCCAAACACGGAATACACTGATCCTTTGCTTCGTTTTCATCGTACCAGAGAACATGACAATATGCGCTGAAGGACTTCTGCACATCGGACTGGCACAACAAAACATGTTTCGGGCGCAGGGGGCGGGCGCTGGCTCGAGTGCCCGTCGTCCAGTGAATGGCGGCTGAGGTTAGCACTTTACGCGCACGAGGAGCGTCGCGCTAGACGCGTCGCCAACACCAACCTTTGACTTGTAGACCGGGGTAGTCGATCACCTCCACACGCTCGACACATTCACTCACGCATACCAGAGCGATGCCAGCGTCTTCTCGTGCTTTTCTTCTCTTTTCTTGCTAGCGGTTCCCAGCATAGCCATGGTGTCGTCCAAATTCGAATCTCTCTCCGTGCGCCCTCCGACTCCACCCAAAGACCAAGAAGACACAGCCGCCGACGAGACGGTGCGATTCCTCCAAGACCCCTTTGGCGAGAAGCCAATCCCGCCCAGGCTCCGAGCAGCGAAGAGAGTGCCCAACACGCCGGAGCAATCGCCATCGTCCGACATCGACATCCCCTCGAGTTCAGCCAGCGCACGGAAGAGAGTCAACTTCGAGCTGCAGCTATGCGACATACCCACTAACAAGGCAGTCGCGCAGTCCTGGACACCCACGCGTAGCTCACCGCTGAAGCCCCTCCCCCAGAACCGCCTCACCAAGCCGCTCAAATCCATCCTGAAGCCTTCCGACGGCACGCAAACACCTCCCGCAGAAGACGCTGCCAACCCGCTCAATTACAAGTCATTCGCCGAGATGCTGGACGCGATAGTGAAGCTGCTCGCTTCTTCTGAGCGCGGGACTCGGCTGGATGCATACGGTTCTTTGCAGAGGACAATGCAGGCATACGACAAGATACCCGACCCCCAGGCGCTGAAGCAGAAGATGTCTCTGCTGACCCAGTTCATACGGCGCGACATAACGGCGCCAGGTTTGGGTGGGACAGGGCTGGACTCACAGCTCATTGGACAGGCAATGAAGCTGCTCATGGCTCTGTTCCGCATCACCGACCTGATATCCGCCATGGACGAAGACTTCTGCTCCTTCATCATAGACCGCATCATCCGCGTCGCTTCCGATAGCTCCATGCCCAAGACCACCGTCAACACACACCTGGCTGTCCTGATGCAGCAGAGTTTCCGGCCGAAGACCATGACTGCGACACGCGTCGAGAAGGTGCTCGAGGCACTAGACACCATCCACGAGCGAACATCGGGCCACGCGGTACAGGCATATAGGGTCCGGATATACAGGAAGCTGCTCCAGCAACGCCCGGACGTTATGATCAGGCATACCGAACGATGGTTCACGCATACTCTCAAAGCTCTGGTGTCGGTTCAGAAGGATATCAGCCAAAGCGCACTTGACACTGCAGTAACGGCTGCGAAGACCATTGGCCATGACCGACATGTCGCCAAATCCGTCTTGTCTGTTCTGAACCGGGTTAAGAGCGACGGCGGCACTATTGCTAGCGTTTTCGCAGGTGAACTGGATCGTATGCTCGGTGGTGATTACGCCGTCTTGGTGCCACAGATCGTGGCTGCTGTCACGGGTCTCCTCAAAGACTCACTTGACGCGTTTGCAGGCTTGAAGGATTGGCTCGTCCTCATTAACAAGTGCCTGTCATCGGACAACGACCAAGTCCGATTATACTCCAATGTCGCCGTTGCCTTCCTGGCCTACTCCGTCAACTTCATGAACTTACCCGAAGAAAAGAAAGTCAAAGCCTGGTCGGGGATGTTCGTTAAAATCTCAGTACATGCACTGCAACGGAAGACCCCAGTAAAGAAAGCCGAGCGCGATGCTGTTTCATCCGCGTACTTCACAATGCTGTATTATGCGTTTCGACCAGCAGCCTCTTTTGAACAATTTGACGGACATTGGACTGACTTCATAGCTGGCCTCTGGAGTCCGATAATCGCAAAGTCTGCTCCGCAGCACGCCATACCCTGCCGAATTGTGTCTGCTCTCTTGGATGGCTCCCGGAAACCTTGGAACGAGAATCGGGCGCTAGATCTCCGGCCAAATTATATGATCCAGCGAGGGGAGCTTCCTCTGGTTGATCCCAAGTGGGTACGGAAGTCGATTGCTCTGGTACTAGAGTTTGTGGAGAATATTCTAGAGGCTGCACTCAAGACCGAAAGCAAAGAGCACGAAGACGAACCGTTTCAGACGATGTGGACAGCAGTCATCAACTCTTTGGTGGAAGCAAGCAGCAAGGAGATCATGGCGTCCACAGAGACCAAAGATGCCATGGCACATATCATCAACCTGCTGCGTCGGATCTGGGACAGCCACACGGACAACATTGCGGTAGAACAGAAGAGGGAGGATCTTTGGGCAACCAAGTTCTGCTTCCTGATAGAGACTGTCGTGCAGAAGATGGGCGCTTTCCAGTTCGCCGATAAGTGTCTCACACGTAACGCTGACAACGAGATCGAAGTCGCATCGACACCATCACATCGATCACGGCACCAGGGCACCCGATCGTCCCCACTCCTCTTCCTGCTGGATCTTCTCGTCACACAATCAGAAGGAAAGCTTGCTGATTCTGTTCGACTCCGCGCAATGGACGTGATCATCGAGCCCTGTTTTGCTGCCCAAAATACTCGGTTGAGCAAGTTGGAGCTTCTTCGGGACTGCGCCGCGACGGTAGATGGCTCGCTGAAGGGTGCAGTGGCATCAGAGTTCTGGACGCGG